GCTGGACATCCTTCCATCTGCCTCCCACTGAGGACAGGGCCAGTCACTGAGAGAGGGTGATGTGACACATAGGTCCTACCCTAACCTGCCTGCTGTCAGTCTGGCTCACATGAATACCTACCTGCCCAGGCATCTGCACTCAGCACCCTTTGTGATGATTGAATCAGCCACTGGGGCAAACAGTCATGGCCCTCACTAGAGGGGCCTGCTGCCATCAGGACACACAAGTCAGGCAGAACCCACCAGGTTTCCTCATCAGTGCAGTGTGGACTCAATGCACAGAGAAGACCTAGTGGCACAAATAAAAGTGCCCAAAATGTAGCAATTAGTACTTTTATATTCAAGGAAGTCAGAAATGCCACTGCCAGCAAAGTGCTCTGAACTTCACCTCTTCTGCCCGAGAGGGCTGTCCTGGATCCAGGTGGAGGAGCAAGTGGGCCAGGGGCTCATTGCTGGCGACTGCAGTGAGAGTCGGCTGTGCAACCCTCAGCTCAGGTCTTTCTGCCACTGATAGCCACATAGCCTCAGAGCAACACAGCCCAAAACCTGTCCCAGCTACGTCCCCCACAGCAGGTAGAGGCCACAGAAACAGATGTGGAGCGCTGCCTAGACAGCTCTGGCTCCATGCTGGGGAAGCAGAATCACCAGGCTTGGTGCAGGTTCCTTCCTTCCTCCTCCACGCTCTTCCTCCCTCTGCCTTCCACACATCCAGGGACAACCCCAAAGCTGGGCGGTTTCCCTCTGCTTCCCTTGGGGGTGAACTGTACTTCCTGGAGGCAGGTCTGACACCCCCCACACACACACACACACACACTCCCAGTACACCTGAGTCCAGGTCTGGGAACCCAGGAGGACCTGCCTGTCAGACTAACATGAACCTCAGGCCTATTTCACAGGAAGTTAAACGCCTGCCCTCACGGACTGACCCCTGCTATGGGCTGCAGATCCCACCCACCTGTTACCCTCCAACCCTTCTCCCAGGGTTCTGAGTTTCCTGGGGAGGTGGGAGGCCTGGGAACCAAGGGGAGGGAGGGGAAGGAGGGGCGGGCCCCTGGCAGTGTGAGTCAGATGCAGGCTCCCTAATCGTCACTAAGAAAGACTTTGCTGAGGACAGTGCTTTCTGGGAGCCCATGTGCACCCAGAGCAGCGCTTCTCACAGGCAGCAGGGTCGCCATGAGCCTCCGAGGGGAGCAGGTGCGCAGCTTCCTGGACGAGAACCCTGACTTTGCCCACCAGTACTTTGGGAAGAAGCTGAGCCCCGAGAATGTGGCTGGGGCCAGCGAGCAGGGGCTTCTTATGGACTGCAGCAGCCTGCGGGAGCTGTGCCAGGTGGAGGAGAGCATGGCCCTGTTCGAGCTGGTGCAGGACATGCAGGAGAGTGTCAACATGGAGCGTGTAGTCTTCAAGATCCTGCGGCGCCTCTGCACCATCTTGCAGGCTGACTGCTGCAGCCTCTTCATGTACCGGCAGCGCAATGGTGTTGCCGAGTTGGCCACACGGCTCTTCAGCGTGCAGCCGGGCAGCACCCTGGAGGAGTGCCTGGTGCCCCCTGACTCTGAGATCGTCTTCCCTCTGGACATTGGGGTCGTGGGCCATGTGGCCCACACCAAGAAGATGGTGAATGTTCAAGATGTGGCAGAGGTGAGTTGCACAGGGATGAGATGGTCTCATGGGTGACTCATCTCCTGCACTTTCTGGAGTGTCTCAGGGTCAGCTCAGGAGAGATCAGGCCTTAAAGGTCCTTATCCTAGAGCCCCTCTAGTCCCTGCAGGCGAGCCCAGTGGGCGCAGGACAGTCTCCTCAGCTGTGACACAGAGATCATTAGACTGAGACTGAGGGTCTCAGACCCAACCCCAGTGCCTCCATTTCTGTGTCCACATCCGTGCCTAAGGCCAGCACAGTGCCCATGAGGGCCACATGGACTGTGAGAGGACCCATGACTTCCAGGAGATGGCCCAGGTGGGGACCACCTGAGGTGGCACAGAAGCCCAGCAGAGCAGGACATCTTAAGACCCCAGAACCCCCAGCTTCCACCATGGGCAGTAGCTGCTTCACCCCATTGGAGGCCACTCTGGCCGCTGGGGAGGGCAAATGGGGGCCCTGGAGGAGGAGCCACTAGGGCAGGCTGAGGAATGGAGAGACTCAGAAACAGATGGCAGGTGGGTTCCTAAGAAGGAGTGGGCATCTATGCAGGCCTCAGGGAGCAGTCTGGAGCTGTGGGAAGGGACAGGGTGTGTCAGGTAAGGGAAGGTGGAGCAGCTGACTGTGAGGTGTCTGCTGTGCTTGAGTGGGAGACTCTGGGAAGACCAGGTGCCCGGGAGAGGGGGCTCCAAGGGCCCCTGAGGTACCCAGGACTACGGGCCTCTGAGGTACCCAGGACTACCAGCCCCAGACAAGCCCCCAAGAGGCCAATCTCATCCCTGGACACTTGGAAGCCCCAGCTGTAATCCTCTTACTTCTCCAGGGTAAATAAGCCACCTGCAGCAACCTAAATATAGTAATCTCTAGGGTTAGCTTTGTCTTCACTTCCTGTTTAAGAAATGGGTCACCCAAGTGCCAAATGGAGCATCAGGAGCATGAATGGGCCCAACCAGACTTAGCAGGGGCTGGGCTAGAATCGAACTGCCCCCTTCCTTCCCTCCCTCCCTCCCTCCTTCCCACCCTCCTTCCCTCCCTCTTTTTTCACCTCCCTCCTTCCTTCTCTCCCCTTTTCCTCCCACATGCAGTCTCCATAGCAGTGCTTAGTCCTCAGCCTCCCCTGAAACTGGATGGGTCCTTCTGCCCCCAGAGCCCTATTTCTCCCACCTCCTCTAACCCCTTCATCCTGCATGGGCTGGTGGCTCTCAGGCTTAGGGCTGCTGGGCCCAGGCCCACCTGTCCCTTCAGGTGCCTCAGCTACACCTGCCTCAACTGACATCCTCCGAGGCTGCCTCCTATCCAGCACAGCTGAGGACTCTTCCCAGGGCAGGACACAGCATCTGCCTATGTGAAAATCCCTGGGCTGTGCCTATTTATTTCAGACTAGAGGAACAGAGACCAAAGTCAAAACCAGCAAAAACGTACATTTCCCCTTAGTGTACCTAACACCCTGGGAACAGCCAAGGGGTAGCTCCTGAGGTCACATCCTACTTTATAGAAGGGACTCAGGCAGAGAGTGGGTCCTGAGGACCTGGGCAGCACGGACAGAGCTGGAGAGCAGCTTGTTCTTGGATGTAGGTACCTCAGCCCAGTAGCAAAGCCTGGACATTTGGGGACAAGCATGCACCCACCATATCGGGGCCATAGGCCACATGGAGTCTCTCACCCCCCTGAGTCCCTGCCTCCCATCCACACTGAGAAAACAATGTCTACCTGCAAGGAAGCTGCTGTGGTTAAAGTAGACCTAAACATAGGTCAATCCTGGTACAAGTAGACTCTGAGTATCCATCTTCCTGGTGAAAGGGTGTCAGGCCATGCCCTTCTCCCCCCCAGAGGCCTGACCCAGGGCTCCAAGAACAGAGCTGCCTGGGCTCTGCTCCCATTCTCTGGCCTATGGTGGGTCTGGGCAGTGCCAGGCTTCATGGGACCTACTCCCAGCCAAAGCCATCTAGGCTCACTCTGACCAGGGCATCCAGGGAAGCAGAGAAGCCCAGCCTGACTTGGAGGGGCAAGCAGAGGCCAGAAGCCTTTCCATAGGGTCAGTATTTCTGTTACTTCATCCAAGAAAGGGTGGGGCTGCTACAGGAAACTGTCCAGGGCTAGGGGTAGGGCAGGAAGGAGAGGAAGCAGCTAAGGCCAGGAAGCTGTGCTGTTCATGGGCGTACAGCATAGTCACCAGAGTCAAGGAGAGGAGAGAATATGGCAATGAGAGAATGGCATGGGATGGGTGCACTGCTTAAGGTTGGCAGAGGCCTTTGCATGGGACCCTGTAGCCTCTTCACAGGTGCTTAGACATTCCATGTGGTCTCCAGGGAAGCTGCAAGAGCAAGCCAGGGTTTGGCTTTCCAGGGAGCTGTGGGCTGGGGCATTGCTCTCAGAGACTGGCAGGGAGGGGAAGGAGGCCAACCACATGCAGAACCAGCTGTGGACATACATGGATCTGGGCAGCCTGCCTGGCCCTCAGAGGCCCTGTACACCTTGCTTTCAGGGTGTGTGGGTCTGATGACATGCCCAGAGGCTTGAAGTCCTGGCACTGGACCAAGGGGTGTCGGGGTGTCTGGGTGGGTGGGTGGGGCCCAAGCTTACCCAGTGAAAGATAGGGTGGCAACTTTGGCCAACCTCGGCCAAGGGGGCTAAGATGAGCCCTGAACATGTGTCTAGGACAGCAGGGGCCTGGGCAAGTGAAGCCTCATGCAAGATAGAGGACAGCAGATGACAGGGCTATGAGAACATTAAAGGTGTACTTACATGCTGACAGGTGGCTGTGTCAGGCTCCAGAGTGGAGGGGTGAGCCACAAGAGAGGCAGGGGAGGCTTGTGGCTACTTCACAATTTTTCTTGTGAAGCAGAAGTTGTGAAGGTGTGTAGAGTGGAGAGAGGGGATGGGGTGAGGTCTGACACAAGGGAAGAAACTGGCAGAGAGAAGATAGCAAAAGAATGAGGCTGGACATCCACCATCTACCACCTATGTGCCTGCCACCCAAGGGTCATATGTAGATCTACATGGTACCAGCTTCCAGAAACACCAACATACATCCAGGCATGGTGCTGAGAAGACCACCTGTCATGGGAGGACCCCAGGCAAGGGAGCCAGAGAGGTTGGAAAGCGGCAGGCTGACCCGATGCTCAGGTGGACAGGGAAGGATGCTGAGGCAGGAGGGGCCATGGAGTGTGGCAGGGACAACACGCAAGTCAGCACCAACAGCTCACAGGGGAGACAGATTCTCCAGATGGCTGCATGTTCAACAGCCACCTTAAAGCAGTAAGGAAAATGCATGGAAGTCTCAAGGAACCCCAAGTGCCAAGACAGATCCTTCCCTTGGGGAAAGAGGGCTTCAGTGTCCTTAACAAGACATTACTCCTCCGCGTGCCACCACTGCCGAGGCATGGTGAAATCTCCCTGCTCCATTATTCAAACCTGGATTTCCCTGTAATGCTGGGCACCACGTAACAGCTTCATCTCTAAGAATCTGAGAGGGAGAACCGAGGGGATGCTCAGCATCTCCTTGTGCACCCTTCATAAGACTTTCACAATCTCCTGGGCCCTGGCAGGCTTCCTTTGACCTCCCCTGGGCCAAAACTGTGGCCCAGCTCCCCTTACTCAAGGGAGGCTGGAAGCTGGTATGGAGCTTCTCTGGCCTGTCTGGAGGGGCCAAGCGTTGGGACGTGCATAGACAGACATGAGGGAAGTCAATCCTCTGTCCTCATAGGACCCACAGTCCTGACAACACCTGAAAGAATTCCTGTAATAACAAGTGGCAATAATAATACATGTAAGGAGCATTTATTTACCCACATAACACCAATGGGGTAAATTCTGTTACTTTTGCCTCTGACTGGTGAGGAAAGGGACAGAGGGCCATCCCATGCAGATCCCAGCCCACCTGCTCTGACTCCACAGCCATTCACCTTGGTCCCTGCACCAGGACACTTAGGCCTCATATAAATAAATGTCAGAACCCAGGAAGCAAGAGGATGAGGCCAGGGTCTCATCCCACTCTTTGAAGGACAGAATCCTGGTCACCTAACACACAGCATCTGAGGAGACAGAACCTTAGGCCCAGGACAAGGGGAATCCTCTAAAGCTGGGCTGGGGGTAACGCTGGGGGCCAGAGGTGGGCAAAGCTCTCATCACAGGTGCAAAGAAAGCTTTATAGTGGGCAGCAGGCCCCCAGAGCTGACCTCTGGGAGCCTGGGCTGGTGAGGCCCATGGGCTGTGAGCAGGCCCCATAGGCTAGGGCCTTCAACCCCAAGTAACCTGCACAAGTGTCCTGATTAAAATGTCCCACCAACAAGCCACTAATAGTTTTCTTTTGGAGAAGGGGGGGCTAGCCTGGAGTGGGCTGAAGCAGGAGCTGGTGGCCTGGACTGGAGGGTTTGGGGATAGGGTAAGTGGGATGTACTCAAGAGATATACAGGAGGCTGACCCAGGCAGAGGGAGGGCAGGTGTAGGTGACACCCTCAGGTCTGTAGGACAAAGCACAAGGGTGGGTGTCCCAGAGAGAGGGAGCCAGGCTGGAGTGTGAAAACTTCATCCTCATGCCTGAAATAAGGTTCTCTGAGCGATGGCTTCCCTTCCTCTCTTGTGGTACAGTGTCCCCACTTCAGCTCTTTTGCTGATGAGCTCACCGATTACGTCACAAAGAATATCCTGGCTGTACCCATCATGAATGGCAAAGATGTCGTGGCTGTGATAATGGCTGTGAACAAGCTTGATGGTCCGTGCTTCACAAGCGAAGACGAAGACGTGAGTGTCAGGGAGATGTCTTTATGTCTGCGTCTACCCTCTTTGTGTCTGCCACATATGCCTGTGTACACCTGTGTCTCCTCAACTGGGCTGTGTGTGCTTACCTGGGTACTGCAAATCCCTAGGAGCATCTGTGTGCAGCTCATGTGGCCACCCCATACACCTGAGAGTGTGCATGCAGATGTGCACTCCTGCATGGCTTCTCCCTGGGCAGGCTCAGGGTGAGCCTGTGTCTCCCCTGCACCCCTGGGTGCACGTCTGAACACTGAGACTTTACCTCCTGTTATAATTTCTGTTCCAGGTTTTCTTAAAGTACCTAAATTTTGCTACATTAAACCTGAAGATCTATCACTTGAGCTACCTCCACAACTGCGAGACGCGCCGAGGCCAGGTACCTGCATGTGCCATCCAGCGGGGCTGGTCCTCCAGACCCTAACCTCCCGCCTCCTGGCTTGTGAAAGGGTGTGATGCTCACCTCTATGCATGTCTCTGACCAACTGGGTCCAGGTTCCCTCTGTCCCGTTTCTGTGCCTATACAGACAGGTGGTGACAGGTGGTATTGTGTTTACATAGTCAGGTCCTAGACTGCCCCAGGAAGAGGAGGGGCTCATGGCTTTTGTGGCTGTGCCCAGCTGGGTACCCTGCTAATTTGCCCACAGGCCAGAATGGTGTGAGTCAGCTGCAAAGCAGAAAGGCCCCTCCCCTTCTCTGAAACTACCTCCAACGGTCTTTGAAAGGAGCTGGTGTGATTATAAGGAATTGGTAGGCCAGAGTGTCCAGATACTGGCCAGACCAACCTCCCAGAAGGGTCTGCCCTGCTGGTCACTTCCTGAATGATATAAAAGAGTGCAGCTGCTGTATTATATGGTCTGACTATGTTTAACATGAGAAACTGCCCAGAAGTGGCAGCACCAGCAGCAAATGAGAGTTCCTGGTGCCCCACATCCTCACTAGCATCTGGTGTTGGCAGTTGTTTGAATTATAGTCAGTCTAGCAGGTGTGTGGTGGCATCTCATTGTTTTAATCTACAATTAAATGACAAGAGATATTAAGCTTCTTTTCATATGCTTATTTGCCATCTGCACATCTTATTCTTTGGTAAGGTATCTTTTCAGATCCTCTGCCCTTTTAAAAATTGGGTTGTTTTCTTTTGTTCAGTTTAAAGTGTCTTTTGTATACTTTGGGTACAAATCTTCTGCCTTTGTTTTGAGACATCCTTCATGTAAATTGGGGTTCCAGTGCCAGAGTGGCTGGCACCCGCCTTAACAGGGCACAAAGGGGGCTGGTCATGGTGTTCCCAGTGTCCCTACCACGGGGCACTTCACTTACCTGATGCAACAGCCTGCTCCTTCACCATTCCACCCTTGAGACCAGAAGCCTTACCTGGGGATCTTGCTTACACCAGAGAGTATCCCTGTGGCCCTCAGCTGACCTGTGTCCAGTTGTTCCTGCCTGGCGCTAGAAGTCCAGCCTTATGTCCCCCAACAGAGTCCTAGGGGTAACCAGGCCTGGGGCGCCTCCGGTTCTTTATATGAAAGGTGCAATTTTGATGCACACCACAGCAGGAAATAGGTTCAAAGATTTATTACCTACAGATCCTGGCAGGGAGGGCTTTGTGAGATGGGAGGGTCATGGGTAGGCTGGTGTGCAGGGACTGGCAGAGAGAGGTAGGGACAGAAAGTGCAAAAGGAAGAGGCAATTAGCAGTGTACACAAGGGAACAGGGTTTGGGTAACTAAGTTTAAGGGCAAGGGCCTAGATGGTCAAGTCTGCTAGGCTTGAGAGACGCTGCTAAGCTTTTTTTAGCTCAGGTGTTTGGGTGTATATAGAACTGCAGACTGCGTGAAGGGTGATCTGCCCTCAGAAAATTAAACCTGTATTTACAATACATGCTAAAGTGACCTAAAATAAGAATTCACTACAGTGTATTGCAAATAGTTTCTCCTAGGGCATGGGCTGTCTTTTTTTCTTTTAACAGTGTATTTTGAAAAACAGAAGTTTTAAATATTTTTTTGTTTTGAGACAGAGTCTCACTTTGTTGCCCTGGTAGAGTGCCATGGTATCACAGCTCACAGCAGCCTCAAACTCCTGGGCTTAAGCAATTCTCTTGCCTCAACTTCCCAAGTAGCTAGGACTACAGGTGCCCGGCACAACACCCAGCTATTTTTTGTTGCAGTTGTCATTGTTGCTTAGCTGGTCCAGGCCGGGTTCAAACCCACCAGCCTCGATGTATGTGGCTGGCTCTGTAACCACTGTGCTATGGATACAGAGCCATAAGTTTTAAATTTTAGCAAAATTCAATTTATCATGAATTATACTTGATGGATTGTACTTAGTGTTGTATATAAAAACTCATCACTAAACCCAGGGTTACCTAGATTTTCTTGTGTGTTATCTTCTAGATATTGTCTAGTTTTGTGTTTTATATTAGGTCTATGATCCATTTTGTGAAAGTTGTAAGATCTGTGTAGATTCATGTCTTGCATGGGAAAGTATAGCTGCACTAGTACCATTTGTTGAAAAGACTATCTTTTCTCTGTTGTATGCCTTTTGCACTTTCATCGAAGATCAGACCACATTGGCCTGAGTCTATTTCAGGGCCTCTATTATGCGCCATTGATTCATGTGTTTATTCTTTCACCAATACCATAATGACTTGAGCACTACAGCTTTATCGTAGCTCTTTAAGTTAGAAATGTCAGTTCTCCAACTTTGTTTTTCTTCTACAGTATTGTGCTGGTTATTCTGCATTTGTTGCCTTTCCATACAAACTTTAGAATCAGTTTGCCAATATCCACAAAGTACTTTATTGGTATTTTAATTAAGACTATATTAAAGCTCGGCACCTGTGGCTCAAGTGGCTAAGGCGCCAGCCACATGCACCTGGGGTGGCGGGTTTGAATTCAGCCCGGACCCGCCAAGCAACAATGACAGGGAGGCTGGGGCAGGAGACTCGCTTGAGCCCAGGAGTTGGAGGTTGCTGTGAGCTGTGATGCCATAGCACTCTACCCAGGGGGATAGCTTGAGGCTCTGTCTCAAAAAAAAAAAAAAAAAGACTATATTAAATCTGTGTTGGAAAGAATGCCATTTTCAAAATAATGAGTGTTCCAACCCTAAGGACACAGAATCTCTCGCTTAGATCTTTGATTTCTTTCATCAGAGGTTAATAGTTTTTCTATATATTTTTATTAGATTTGTACTGAAGTATTTCATTTTTAAGAACAATTTAAGTTATAATGTGTTCTCATTTTCAAATTCCAGTTCTTTATTGGTTTAAAAAAGAAAAGCAACTTTTTTTTTTTGAGACAGAGTCTCACTCTGTGGCCCAGACTAGAGTTCTGTGACATCAGTCTAGTCACAACAACCTCAAAGTCCTGGGCTCAAGCGATCCTCCTGCCTCAGCCTCCAAGTAGGTGTGACTATAGGCGCCCACTCCAACTGGCTAATTTTTCTATTTTTTGCAGAGACAAGGTCTCACTTTTACTCAGGCTGGTCTCAAACTCCTGAGCTCAACCAATCCACCTGCCTCAGCCTCCCAGAGTGCTAGGATTAAGCAAATGGCTTTTGTATATTAACCTTGTATCCTGCAACCTCACTACAGTATTCGTTCCAGAAATTTTTTATTGATTACTTGATTTTTTTTTTTTTTGAGACAGTGTCTTACTCTGTAACCCTGGGTAGAATGCCATGGAGTTATAGCTCACAGTAACCTCAAACTCCTGGGCTCAAGTGTTCCTCTTACCTCCTCCTCCCAAGTAGCTAGGGCTACAGATGCCCACCACAACACCCAGCCACTTTTTCTATATTTAGTAGAGACAAGATCTCACTCTTGCACAGGCTGGTCTTGAACTCCTGAGCTCATACAATCCTCCCACCTTGGCTTCGCAAATTCATTGATATTTTCACTTATACTAGTATGTCATCTGTAAAAAAGTTTTATTTCTGGGCGGTGCCTGTGGCTCAAAGGAGTAGGGCACCAGTCCCATATGCTGGAGGTGGCGGGTTCAAACCCAGTCCCAGCAAAAAAAATGTTTTATTTCTTCCTTCCCTATCTATAAATACTGTGTTTCCTTTTCTTGTCTTATTACAGTGCTAGCTATATGTGATGAGGGGACATCCTTGCCTTGATGCCAATCCAAAGGGAAAGCACCTTTCTCATCAGGTCAGCTAGAGGGGTTTTTATAGGATTTGTTTTATCTGGTTGAAGAAGTTATATTTCTAGTTTACTGAGTGGTATTTTTCTGAATGAGTATTGGGCCTTAGGTTATGTACCATGGCATCATAGCCCATAGCAACCTCAAACTCTTGGGCTTAAGTGATCTTCCTGCCTCAGCCTCCAAAGTAGCTGGGACTATAGTTGCCCACCACAATGCCCAGCTAGTTATTCTATATTTAGTAGAGACAGGGTCTTGCTCTTGCTCAGGCTGGTCTCAAACTCCCAGAATGCTGAGATCACAGGTATGAGCTGTCACACCTGGCCTTTTCTTTCTTATTTAGCCTGTAGATGTGGTGGATTGCATTAATTCATTTTTTTTTGCTTTTTAAAAAAAATTTGAAATTGAATGACTTTAGGCAAAGTCTTAGTTTTGGGGTTTTTTTTTGAGAATTCAGAAATATTAGGAATGAAAAAGTGAGAAAAAGTCATTTTCCTTTTTTCTCTGTTTTGTAATGTTTCCATTTTTATTCAGTCTTTCTTTATGTCCTTTCTTTCTTCTGATATTGTTGTTTCTTTGGTTTTGAAAAGAAACTGTCTTCCACTGTCTTCTTCAGTGGAACTGGATGAATACAACCTTTTCTTTTTCTTTATTTAATTTTCTCTTTGCTTTTTTCTTATCCTCTTCTTTACTTATTCTTTTTTTTCCCCTATAACTTCTGCATTTTTTTTCAGTTCTTTATTCTCTTCACTGTTTGCACCACTAACATCCAAAACTATGTCCCTTTGGAATCTAATCAGAGAAAATTGCAGCATTCAAAAGTCAAGTGACCAGGGTAGCCATATTTTTGGAAGCCTGCTCTAACACTATTCTTGTTGCAACTTGGGCCCTGCCGTGATGGTGGTCAGAGGGGGAACTGGAGCCTTCAGCTACTGAGAACACATTTACTTCCCACCAGCTGTAGGACAAAGCACCACCAGAGTGCCTTCTTCCCCACACCATGCGGCAGCACCTTTGCTGCCATCAAGAAAGGCCCTGTAAGCCTCTCCATTGATTTATGTTCCCATGTTGAGTGAGGTCTACATACCTGGAATAATTACTGGTAATTATTTTGATACATTGTTAGATTGGTTTTGCCAATGTTTTGTGTCAAGAACTTTTACATCTATAGTTATGAGATATGTTGGTCTGTAGTCTTTCTTTCTTATAAAATAATTATTTTCTCTTTATCTTATAAG